CCACAGGACCTTATTCCATAGTGTAACTGGCGTGTCCAAATATGCTTTTGCAAACCTCAAGCGATTGTGTTTGTGGCGTTCTTGCAGAAAGTGCTTCTGTGGCATCACTCTCCCATACAGCTTCTCCTGGTGCAAAGTGTGCTAAATTGTTGAACGATGCACAGTGACACCATCTGCAGGTTTTGGAGGTGGTCTGTGGGATGGAGGTGGTCTGTGGGTTTTCCTTGACCATTCTCACCATTCTTCTTCTCTGTCTCTCTGACATTTTTCTTGGCCTGCCACTTCTGGGCTTAACTAGAACTGTCCCTGCGGTCTTCCGTTTCCTCTCTATGTTCCTCACAATGGAAACTGAAGGTTTAAATCTCTGAGACAACTTCTTGTATCCTTCCCCTGAACGACTATGTTGAACAATCTTTGTTTTCAGATCATTTGAGAGTTGTTTTGAGGAGCCCATGATGAATCTTCAGAGATTCAAGCAGGACAACAACTTGCAACCGGCCACCTTAAAAACATTTTCTCATGATTGGATACACCTGGCTATGAAGTTCAGATCTTAATGAAGTTACCAAATCAATTTTGTGTTTCAGTAAGTCAGTGAAATGTAGTTAATTGTGTTCAAATCAATAAAATGATTACGGTACCCACATTTTTGCACCTGTCAAATTTAGTTTTAATGCGTATTGAACATTTTCTGTTAGTCCAATAAACCTCAATTCAATACTGAAATATTACTGTTTCCATCAGTTATTAGATATATCGAACTGAAATAGCCGTTTTAAACACCCAAATATTTAGAAATAAAAATAATTAAGATTAATAGGGGTGCCCAAACTTTTTCATATGACTGTTGAACCGCAGATATAACAGCATATAACCGTAACACTGGACGAACAAGTAAATAGCGTTTTAAAAATGTTTCAATGGCACATCAATATGTGCTCTTGCCAAAAGTTTTGCTGTCTCCCAGCACAATCTCAAGAGCATGGAGGAGATTCCAGGAGACAGGTGGTTACTCCAGGAGTGCTGGACAGGGCCGTAGAAGGTCTACAACTCATTAGCAGGACCGGTATCTGCTCCTTTGTCCAAGGAGGAGCACTGCCAGAGCCCTACAAAATGACCTCCAGCAGGCCACTGGTGTGAATGTCTCTGACCAAACAATCAGAAAAAGACTTCATGAGGGTGGCCTGAGGGCCCGACGTCCTCTAGTGCCTGTAACATCATTTAGCATGACCGGTTTGGTGGTGGGTCAGGGATGGTCTGGGGCAGAGATGGCAAAAGTACTCACTTTCCGTACTTGAGTAAAAGTACAGATACTTGTGTTAAAAAATACTCTGGTAAAAGTGGAAGTACTGATTAAACTTCTTTACTCAAGTAAAAGTAACAAAGTACAGGCTTATAAATTTACTTAAAGAATAAAAGTAAAAGTAGAAACCACTTTTTTCATGCCGTTGCCTACATTTTAAATGGACGTCTGCCAATAGGACTAGATCTTCGTTGTGTTCATTTTCAATCATCTCGTCGTCCATACTACTATGCTAACGCCACCGTCAATTCATCTTGCAGTGGTGCGTCAAATGCAATGTAGATTCCCATCCAATTAGATTGAATTTGGTATTGATGACGTGAAAAATAATAACGGTAACTCCATTGAAATGATTCAAAACTAAAGTAACGGGCCAATATTTTAAAATGTAAGGAGTAGAAAGTACAGATATCTCTGGGACATTATGTTTCCATCCATCCGACTCCGCCAGGTTGCACCTCAGACTGTCCAGGAGCTCAGCGATACCCTCGTCCAGATCTGAGAGGAGATACCCCAGGACACTATGCATCGTCTCATTAGGAGCATCCATGACGTTGTCAGGCATGCATACACGCACGTAGGGGCCATACAAATGACTGAATACCATTTTGAGTTGCTGCAATGAAATTTCAGCAAAATGGACTTGCCTGCAGCATCATTTTTTCTCTGTTATCTTTTAATTCAGCCCTCTGTAGGTTGATCATTTTCATTTCCATCAAATGATGTGGCATCCTTTTGTTCCAAACACATCACCCGGTCTATATCAGTAGAAATAAACAGCATAATTTTTCCCCCATTGAGATCTGATGTGTTTTCAATGTGTTCCTTTATTTTTATTTTTAGCAATGTAGATGTGCACACTGGAAACATTTTTGTTGTTAAATGTGCCATAGAAATAAAGTGGATTGGTTATGTGCTGCACTGCCCCCTGTGTTTTCTGGGAGTACTGCATCAGCTTTAGGTAGAAACACCTGGAGGCTTCGTTGCACAGACCCTCCGACTGTCAGAGGCTGAACAGACGTCCTGCAGTGAGAAGCCATATCCCCATGAGACCCAGTCCCTTTATGAAAAGTTTCAAATAAATATTTCACTTTAATGTAGTGAAAGCAGAGCTGCTGTCAATCAACATCCAGAGCAGCGCCTCAATATTAACCACTGAAATAGAATAAAACAATGTTTAAAGAACAAATCCAGCCTCAGCAGAGATTATGTTTCTAATGTTCAAAGATGAAGAGAAACATGAAGAATAAGAGGAATGTTTGATATAATAGGAGCTTCAGAACCAGAGCATCAATTTAACCCTTAAAAGGGCAAGTTAGTGTTTTTGATCACTTGCATCCCTCCTACAAATGGAGTCCCTCAGTGAGGTCTAGAAGCACAAGATCTATATCCAGCTTTCAGCAAAGCTTCTGCTGCATGGCTGTACATCTTATTTTGGCATTTGACCAATTAGATGAGCCCTTGAATGGGAAAAAAAAAGTTAAGTCAAGAAAAAAAGTTAAAAAGCCTATTTAACAATTATATTTAGGTTTATAAACTAAAACCGGTAAGTGACAGTATCAGCATTAATGCCTCTAAGGTTATGTTGGACAATGTCTTTTTTTAACTCTTTTTTTTCATGAATCTCTTATAGAAGCACTTTTTATTTTTCTTAATATATTCTGTGGTGTTTGTTATAAAGGTAATAAGGTGTTTGATCCCCATAAGACTACTGGTTTGAAATTTGGATTTTCAGCATATTTCACTGAGCGCCCTATAAAGTGTTAATAGGAGGATCTCCTGACTTCCATCTGTTCCTTTCTGCAGCTTCGAAGGTTTAAATGCAGCTTATTACCCATAATTCCCTAAAACCTGACAAATGACTCCAGTGTTTGCTGTTAATCCCCTCCGCGCCGGTTGTCTGTGAAGCTCAGCGTCTCAGTGTGGACGCTGAGTCGGGCTGATTCCTCCTGACGACAGGAGGAGGATTAGCAGAACCTGGGCTGAAATCATCTCCCTCTTTCCTTCTTCTCCCTGCCAGGTGCTCCCTGTGCGGTTATGTGTGCAGTCATCCCCCGTCACTGAAATCCCACATGTGGAAACACGCCGGAGACCAGAACTACAACTACGAGCAGGTTAACAGAGCCATCAACGAGGCCATCTCCCAGAGCAGCCGGTAAGAACCACACAGATTAAGATGGAGGACGGGTCTCTGGTGGGACGTTCTTTAGCAGAACCCTGACCTGCAGCAGCTCATCAGGAGCAGCCAGGAGTCACTGTGGACGTCCACATGCGGCCTCTAGGTGGCACCAAACTCAGCAGCAGACAGAAGATCGCCAGCAGAAAAGCTAAAAAGTAAATTAAACCAGAGAGCAGAGATCTACTTTTCTCTGTAGAAGATGACGAGGATTCAGAAAGTGTCATTAATCCCATCAGGTCACATTTAAAAGGATTAAAGTATTCCAGCTCATAGCGAAAATCACTCAGAAATAAATTGACTGTAAATAAATTTTAAAAAAGTCAATCGAAATCCGTCTTGCATTTGTCAGCCAATGGTAGCAAAGGAGCGCTCTGAAACGAACAGTATTAGCCAATCAGAAGAAGAAGGGGGCGGGTCTTATGAAAGTGTGTATCTCCTCCTCTCGTCTCTTGCTTCTTCACGGAAAGTCACCTTTTGCCGTTTACCGCTGTATTCAACGGAGAGACGTGTAGAAAGGCAAAAAATAAAGAAATGAAACTTAGTGTTTGGAGAGAAGGACGATAGAGAGAACAGAATCACATGGAGTGGCAACAATGCAGTCCATGAACTCTGGGGAAGATGTCATGTCCATAGATAAAGGTCTGAAAAATACATGGCGCTGGGCGTGGCTGTAGGAGACAGGGCGAGATGGCGAGCCGTTTAGCAGCTGGAGCAGGAAGTTAGGTGAACCAAGCACTGGCTTCTGCATGCTGTGCTCCAGGAACGCTTAGCAGAAAAACTGGATAAAAAAGTGGTCGGTATGGATGCACTGGTGCCACCTTCTGGCTGTTTTTGGTATTGGAGTTTCACAAGTGAAATTTAAAAGGGAAACACAGTTTTTTTTACATTGGTCCTTGATTTTACGTTATTCCATCATGTTCTACTCACCTATATGAGTTTTGTGTCATTTAGAGCCGTTCTGAAGATATTCTGTTAGGTTATATCCAAGTAACGTCTTCCTATGGGCAACGACTTGAAGGCACAAACTAAACTGTTCACAATTTATTCTTTATGGTACGCCAGCATTCATAATATGTAGGCGAATCACTGTCCCCCAGACATCCACGGTTATGTTTTTTATATTTATATTTTTGCACCCACACCCCCCTGGTATGGCTAGATAGATTAGATAGATAGATATTAGGGGTGGAACGGTTCACAAAATCTACGATTCGGTTCATGGTTTCGTGGTCATGGTTTTCGGTTCGGTTCGGTTTATGTTGCTTGTTAGCCTGACATGTTGGTCATGCTGCTGTTAGCATA